GTACACAGAAAAATGACGTTTTTATTCTCGCGCATCAAAAAGTTCCTTGACAAAATGGTTTGTTTAATGGATAAAAGTTATGTAATTGATCCAAAAAAGTTTTCCTTTTATTATACTTTGCTAGTTGTAAAGGGGTATATAATAAATTTATCATTATAACAGTAACTTGATCCGAAGAGCCGTATCACGTCTCGTTGACAGGCGCGGATCATCAGATCAAACTCGACGCTTCGCGTCTCGTTTGATCTGATGATCCGCGCCTGTCAACTCGACGTGATACGGCTCCTCGGATCAAGTTACTGTTATAATAATATATATTGATTGTTTTCTTTAACAAGAGGCCAAAATGGCGCGAAACTCCGAATGATGACGGAACGTCATAATCAGTTTTACCTGTGACGTAATGAGTTAACAGTAGGCCCAAAATAGGCCCATGGCACTTAACGTAGTTTTTGAAAATAGGCCCAAAATAGGCCCGCGGCACAAAGAATGTTAAATGCGGAGTCGTTAAATAAATCGGATATTGTATTAAATTTCTAATACCTGTGAAACGTGATTGATTTTAATTGTGTAATTTACAGGAAAGTCCTATCTTTATATAAAGTAATAAAACAAATAGAAAGATCTTTTTAATTTTAGTTAAATACGCCATTTATGACTTTAATAAAATAGTTTAGGACTGTCTTTTCCCGAGATACTTTCAAAGTGTAATTTGTATATTAAAACTTCCTGAAATTATGCACATTATAAAACGTAATAAAGAAAAACGTAGAAAAGATATACAAAGAAAAAAAAAATTAAAAAAGCATAAATGGAAAAATGTGGGGCTCGAGCTCGCAATCACCATATTTACATTCCAGCAATCATACCACTGCGCAAACGAAGTCAATGACGTCGAATGGATAAATTTAAGGCAGATTGCTAAATCTTACGATTATATGAGAAGAAAATTTGAATATATTGTTACGTTCCGATAAGTTTACCTGTGAAATTCGGATTAACTGTTGTTGACAAGTTCCGAATAAACGGACCCTGAACCCGATGTATATAAACTACTGAAATATTTGTCAATGAACGAAAGAATTGAACACTAATTGATTATTTGAACTTAATCAATTTGATTTATGTATTGTAATTACAAAGCAATATATTGTATATGTTCTATATAGGTACAACGTTATTTAGTAATTTTAGTGGTTAAAACCCGCTAACTTACAAATTAGATATTGATTGTGACGTTATTGGTATCTGACGTTTATACGTCATCATAACAACTTTTGTCTATAAAAGACAGCTGTTTTGTGTTTAGAAGTCAGTCTGCAGTAGGTAGCGACTCCGTATACTTCGGGTGTAAACAGTGGTATGTACAAACAGTACCAAGTCTATGTATACGAAATCATTAGTGAAGAGTCATTCAGAGTTGAAACGTCCTGGATTGACCATTGGTTCGTCATCTTTGTATTAACCAAATAACGTTGTACCAGCCAAGTGAATCATTGTGCTTATAACTGAACCATTTGATCGTCTTGATAAATATCATAAACTTTACAACGTGTTATTCATCACGGTTCTAGTGCAGATATTATAGTGAACTAAAATTTGGTCATTTCACCAATTATTTAGTGGACCAAAAATTGGTCGTTATTCCGATTTTATATAAATTTTGTGGACAACCATTTCAACCTTGACCAGTTACCAGAAACCAACAGCGGCCCACGATTAACTGATTAAGTAATAACCTTACACCCTCGGTTTCGTTACAATATATTTTCATCATTTTCAATATGAAGACCACCTTTAACCAAAATTATCTAAATGTAATGAAGTGCAGTCATATCCAAATAAAATTATTCAAAAGTTGTTTTTCTGGTTAAGGGTGGTCTTTGGCAACAGTTTGTAATCTTTAGGTGGATACCTCAATATTTACTATACACCCCATACAAACTGGATAAATTTTATATTTATCATATGAAGGAACTATCAATATTGAAATATCATTATTGTGTGGTTTGGTTTTACGTATGTATAAACTAATATTGTATGACAAAATTTTGGATAAACAATGAATTTAAGAAATCACTAGTAGAGTAGGCGATAATGCCTATCAAATGCGCTATGGCTCTTTGTTGATTTTTAGTCCCCTACCGGTGAAACCGGAGGGGACTATAGGTTTCCTCTGAGTCTGTCCGTCCGTCTGTCCGTCCGTCTGTCTGTCCCTCTGTCTGTCTGTCAGTCTGTCCCACTTGGTTTTCCGCACTTTTTTTCTAAACGCTTGCAGATATTGAGCTGATTTTTGGTATGTGAGTGTATCTTGATGAGTTACAGATCAAGTTTGCATTTCGTTCCCCTTCATTGATTTTTGACGGAATTACGGCCTTTTCAATTTTTAGGGGTTTTCCGCAATTTTCTTCTAAACGCTTTCAGATATTGAGCTGATTTTTGGTAAGTCACTTTACCTTGATTAGTTATAGGTCAAGTTTGCATTTCGTCCCGCTTCATTGATTTTTGACTGATTCATGGCATTTTCAATTCCTAACGGGAACCAGATTACACTTGCCGGTAGGGGACTAGTATTGCTAATGCAATACTCTCAGAATGCTTGTTTATTTTGAATTGATTTTTATGGGGATTGGGATTGATCAAAATTTTAAAAATAGCAATTTTTATTAAATTTTGCAATTTCATTTCAATTTCTTTTGAAAAAGTGATTGCCTAATATTTCTTTTACATATGTACACTGTTTATTGAAGATTTCATGCAAAGATACAACAAAAATTTAAAAAAAATCAACAAGATGCTTTTCATATTCTTGCATTAATTAACAGTCAAGACGATAGGCGTATTACGCGTGTAATCTGCAGAAATCATGTGTACGAATCCTATGCCCTGTTCACACAGAGAGATTAATTCGCATTAAATTAATGCGAAGTAAAATGATGCGAATTAAACTAATGCGAATTAAATTGCGTTCACACGACAGCTAATGCGAAGTAAACTAATGCGAATTATAATTTTATTTCTACAACAAGGCTATTCAGTGAGGCTATTATGACGTCATTAACAAATCACGTCATATTGTGCAGAGCAGATATACTTTGACATAATGTCATAGTGTCTGTACACATTTAGTGATAAACATAATTTTCCTTTGTTTTCCACTCAAAACTAGCATCAGTACCTATATATGACCATCGACATGTGGCCTGTGACTTAATTCTGCCCTTACGCATGCGTCAAAATTTAATTCGAATTAGCTTCGCTCTGCGTTCACACGGAGCTAATGCGAAGTAATTTAATGCGCAGTAAACTAATTCGAATTAAACTAATTCGCATTAAATTCTCCGTGTGAACGCAGATCAAATTTAATTCGCAGTAACTTGCGTTTAATTCGAATTAAACTCTCCGTGTGAACAGGGCACTAATGTCCAGTCAGATTTGTAAGGCTAATTACAGCCAGCTGTACAGACTATACAAAAGCTACACACATACATAGGCAAATGTTACATTACATTGATATACCTTAAAATAAGTGTAGTTCAATGCTAATGTATTAATATATCAGTGAGTGATTTCACTGTCAATAAATAAAATAAAAGTGGCAAATGACTTTATTGTTTCAATATAAATGCTCCATGCAAGAATCGAACCAAAAATTATAGATTTATCTCCGTCTTGGCCAGATTAAACATAACACTGTGCTTTCGTCGAATCACATTAAAACTGGATTTTAAAAACTGCAATAAAGTAACGCATTTACACAAATATCATTTTTTGTTTGCTCACAAATAACATTTTAAAATGGTGGAGAGACGATCCAGAAATAGCAAATTTATAGAAAAACTTGTTGAAAAATGTATCAGATTGTATCAAATGACTCACATTTCGTAGCATACTAGTATTTTAGCAAATTTCAAAACACAGTATCGGAAAAAATATTTCCCTTTCCTACATCAAAGAAACCCAATATATCAAAAAAATGCTTGAATATCATGCGACGTTTTAATGACATTTTCACTTTCCAAGTGTGCCGAATCCAAAGCAAATCCATTTTAATACCAAAAAAATTATACAAAATAATTAAAAGCTTATATTGCTCATAATGAAATCATATTTCAAAAGAGATAATTTACACCTTAATTAAATAATAAAAGATAAGTTTGAGGCTATTTTATTTACACCAACAAGGGGGAGCGAATACAAATAACCTTACCTGCTAACTTATCATGTTCATAGTTTTATTCATTTATTGGACATAAAGACTCTAGCTTGTATCAATATTGGATAACATTCTTCCACTCAGAGAGGAAAATTAACTTTGATTAACATTTCACCAACCCAGGGAAAAGGATTCAAATGTTCATTTTTTTTTTTAAAGTTCAGAGCACAGTTGCTGTAAAACGTGTCTTGTCGGCTCAACTTCACATTAGCCAGGTGTCGATATCCATATAGAGTAAACAAAATCATAAAATGTTCTTCTTAAAAACATGTATTCAAAAAAAATCTTTAATTCTATTGACTCTTTGAGGGATGAAAATACAGTAACTTGAAAAATATAAAGGAAACAATATCGCAGTCTTCTTTTTACGTCCGTCAAGCAGACATAATGTTTAAACAACATTTGATTGATTGAATCGGCCATCATTAAGTCAACTGAAAGAGGTCAAAAGGGTGGACCATCTATATTCCATGGCACATTGGAGCACGGGCATATAAATGGTGAAAAGAAAGCCCGATTTATGCGCCCTCAGATCGGTGCATCCCTCCCTTGAATGGGGAGGATTAAGAGCGATCTCACGCATGTGATGACTAGCTTCCTTTGAGTCGTCTTCTGTGGACCGTAAAAGACGTGTTGGCCATTCACCGCATTGCTTCTATCAATGTGACTATAAAACTGCGAATTCTCATTTGAATTACCGATAGGTAATATTTCCTTACAATCGGAGAATTATGTATAAAAGTGGTTTCTTATTGTAAAGATAACTACCGAGGCTCGGCCATCTTTCTCGCATCTTTCTACAACTTGATTCATACAGCAAACACCCAGATCACAGGATGTTTGGACAAGTACAAAACCCTCAGGTACTCGACATGGGACAATCAAATCAATCAACGAGTTCTTTGCTGAATTTTGTGGATGTCGCATCTTGTAATATTAAAATGGCACTAGATAGACCTTCCAAATCAAAGAGGAAAGTTAATCACCGGAAGTACCTCCAGAAACAGTTGAAGGGTTGCGGAAATGTTCAACAAGAGGATAATTCTCGAAGAGCACCGCCTGGAACTCAACAAATCAGATTCGTTAAAAAGGAAACCACGCAATCTGGACGTCAAATGAAATCCCTTCAAGCTTTATTTGACCCAAGGACTCTACACGCAAAATGTTGCGCCGATCCCTATACCAACACTCGTGGATCTAAAGTACCCTTGCGAAAGCGAGATTTACCGGCATCATTCTTCTTGGAACCATCAACACTTGAAAATAGGGACAACCTGATGGAATCTTTAATGTCAGTTGATGATGAATTACTGAATTCCCTTAATCGTGTTCCGGATCTAGACACACTTTCCTCGGATACATTGGACTCAATTCTCGGTAAAAATGATTTGGATGACTTTTTAAATGTCGGGCAGTGGAGTGATTCTAGTAGGGACAGTTCCGAAAGTAACCCTCGCTCTCCAAATCCAGAATATGGTGTCTGGAATGATATCGTCCATCATCCCGTGTACACTCCAGAACAATGGTCGCCCACTAATTCTGTACAAATGGCGTTCCCTGAGAATGTTGGTCAACATACATATCACCCAACACAGTCACTTTTAGTTGAGGATTCAAAACCAACAGAAAAGTTAAGCATCATAGAATCATATCGGGAACCCTCCAAATTACCTACATTTCCACAGGCCTTCTTGGGAAGAACAGATTGCATGAACCCGAACTCAGGACAGTGGAGCGAAACTTCTATTCAACAATATTACACATACCTGTGACCTTTTTTTTTATATTTGATAATTTTTCATATGTTTCTGTGATTATAATGACTGGTAGTGTTCTTGAAAAATCGACTAATCTACAATATTAATTAAAATTTTTACTTACTTCTCTCTGTATTTTTTGAGTAATTGGTATGATATTTGTTTAGTTTCTTTGAGTGAGTGAGAAGTCTCCCCCCCCCCCCCCCCCATGAGAAAAAGTACTTTTGTGTATATTTATGACGTTAAGTTCGAAATTCACTAGTGAGGTTATACCGAGTCCAGTATTTTTTATAACACCTACAATCAGTGGTAACCTGTCTAGTGAGTTTAGGTTAGAAATGTTATGTAAAAAAAATTAGAGATTTGACCTGGAGATATATTTCACTTTTGGATTATTAAAATTCGGGCACGTTTCATTTTTAAAAGACAACAAGAATAATAGACAAGCAAAGAAAAAAGGAAAGAAAGAAAAAGAAAAAAAAATCTAAAAACAAGCAAGAAAGAAATGGAAAATTTCACAAAACTCCAAAATTAATTCTTTAATGGTGGTTGGTCCTACTACTAGCATTGTGTTCGTCAGAAAATGTTTTCCACTTTGGGTCCACCCTACCCTCATGGGTCATAATTTGAACAAACTTCGCTATTTATAATGAAGCTTTCACATAAGTTCCATCTGTCCGGTGCAATAATGTGGAAGTACACGAAAACCGGGGGGGGGGGGGGGGGGCTGGCCTACAGCGAAGGCTCGTCAAAGAAAAAGCTAGTGTCACATTAAAACGTTTAATGTAACAAAAGTGTCTCCCATACTATAGGCCTATAAAATATGAAATACACCTGTATTAATTCTAATTCGTTAAAACATATATTTTTACTAGTCAAAACTTAATTCCTTGCACATATTTGCTAACCATACTTATTCCATACGTCCACTTACGATATGTCCATTCCTGTATTAAAATCATGTTTTGCATTTTGAAGAAAAGAAACGAAGAAAACTTCTGATACACCCTACCCCATTCTTTTTGTATGTGCATGTATATTTTATAGACATGCAGTTCTCATTTCAGACAGATGAGCTTAATTCTCTAATAAAATTACTAACCAAGACGATCTTATTGACTGCATGTCTTTTGATGACGTACGTGTATTCCTGTACTGTGTATGTGAATCTGTGCTTTTCTGCAGGTGTCCGCTTTATGAAGTGTTCATTTTAAAGGATGCTTCTCTACTTTAAAGCCCCCTTTCTCATCTCCGCAAAATACGAATCGTTGATTCTTGGATTCACTTTCAAGATTAATAGTTTGTAATTGTCAAGAGTAAAATAGATCGGTTGAAAAATGGGCCCTTGGTTAAAATTTATTCAGGAATTAAGATGCATAAACTGACATTAAACACCCAGTTCAGCTATAGTATTTATTTTAAGACCCACCTTTTAAGAGGTGTGCACTAAATTCTCAAATTTAGCTCCGTTCGTTATTAAAAACAAAACAAAAACAAAAACAAAAAAATGCAAGTTAAAATTTACATTTTTATATCTCGTGGGCGTATACATGTAAAATACTGTAGCTGCATGTCCCCTTTGCCCCCCCCCCCCCAAATGGGTGGATGGGTGGATGGATGGGGGGACGAGAAATGCTCTCATTGTACGAAAAGGTTACCAGATAAGCATAAATATCGGATTTGTTTTGTTTTGTGTTTTTAAAAGCACATTTACTACGTGAAAAATTCATAAAATCCAATGAACATGATGGAAGACAGTTGTAATATCTACATGTATTTACATTTAATCAAATCCCAAGCTTTATAATTTTTATCTACTGTAAACATGGCCAGAATAAATAAATAAATAAATAAATAAATAAATAAATAAATAAATAAATAAATAAATAAATAAATAAATAAATAAATAAATAAATAAATAAATAAATATAAAATAAATAAATAAATAATTGGATTTATAATTTGAAAAAATCTACCTTATAACCACAGGTGCTTTTTATATAGCCTTTTATAAAAATTCACACTCGCTGATACTAAAAGAGAACGTTCTCTTTTAGTATCAGAGAGTGTGAATTTTTTTTTTATAAAAGGCCAGTTTTAGGTTAAATTTTGGATTTTTCATTTGTAATACTTTGTGAACATGTCATAGAAAAATATTTTATTTAAAAAAAGTCAAAGAACCCTTGGGGTACGGAACACAGGGGGGGAGGGGTCCTGTCCCCAAATCTGCAGGAAATCTCAGTTAACTATGCCGGAAAGGCCCGAAAAGTTGCGATTTACGAAAACCGGGAAAGGAAATCAAGCATGAGCATGTTTTAATCAGAATCTTTTGCACGTTTCTTTACAATGTGCTCTCAGCGTAGAAAGACCTAAGCGTCCCTTTCACGTAGAAGAAAAATCACCCGGATAAACAACAATAGCGTTTAAACTTGACAGCAAGTAGGCTCTAATTTCCTATTTCTTCTTAGTTGCAATGATATAGCCTAACAGACAGTAGCTCGGAAAGGAAGGAGAATGGCGGCAATTGATTTATCCAAAACATTTGATGAGATGGAATCGGACGAGCTCAGTCTGGAAACGTCAGTTCCGACAGATTTGACTCTATCCCCAGACAGAGAAAATGGACATGCAGAGGATCGCAGGGATCGGAAATCAAAAGTAACAAGACAACTAATAGAAAGGAAACAACTCATGCATGACATGCAACTCTTAAGAATTGAACTGTCTCAAAAAAACTTGACATTAGAAAACATGAAAGCAGAATCTCTCAACAAAGTAGAAGAGCTTGAAGAAAAACTTAATGATGCTTTACACCAGAAACAAATTCTTGCTGCTCGTCTTGAATCCCAATTAGCTATTCAAGAGCAAGAGTCAAAAAGACGTCAAGATTTGATTAAAGGAGAGATGGAAGAGGTTCGCCAAAGGCAGAAACATTTAGAGGCAACAAATGAACGTTTGGAAGAAAAAGCAGGGAACGTCAGGAGAACATTGAGAGACTTAACTCTTACAGAAGATAAATATTATGAACTGAGAGGACAGAGTGAAGAAGATTTATCATTACGAGATTATGTGGCAGTAAGCATTTATAAAGTTACTTATGCTCAGATTGGTATCAAATGATTAAATACTGTATGCATTGCTGTTTTTGCTAAAGCCATTACTTCATTGTTTTCAGGTTGAAAGAACCATTGATACATTCACATGTTTTGATATCTTAATCAGAAAAAAAGGAAAAGAGAACAAGAATTTATAAAATCCTTATTACCAGATAGTGTACGTATTGTTCACTTAGTTTTCGATTTTAGATGAAGTTGTTTGAGGCAGTCCGCCCATTACAAACAGAGATTGATCAGATGAGGTTAAGAAATAAAACTTTGGAGGATCAGAACAAATCATTTTCAAAAGAAGTCCTGGAATTGCAGGAGGTATTTTTGGAATCTTTTGCCATTTTAAGAATTAAAAAGGATTTTTAAAGCAAATGCAAAAAATATATTCAGTGTATTTGTATAATATAGTTGTAACGGAGTTGTGGAAAACTGTCGGTCATGCCGGCAAAAACGGCAAAAAATGCGTATGACCAGTAAAATTGCTATCGATGTCGGTCCGAATGACCGGCCCCCTTTTTTGGTTAATTTTTTTTCCATTTATCATCTGCGCACTTCCCAGCTTAATTACTTATATGCGATTGCATAATACTTTTCTTTACACGAGATCGAGGCTATAGATGAAAGCGAAACCAGCATGGTCTCGTGACCTATTAAATTTAAAACTGGGACAGAATTAGGTAGAAAACATAATAAAGACAAGCTAAATATGAAAAATTTCGACAGAAAGAATTCAAACACAGTTGGGGAAAGCAGTAAATCTAACACTGCCGACTGTCCCGGATTTCGTTTTTTCATCGATCGTGTTGATATCTTTATTATCGATGCACAGAATTTCTTCAATTATTCTAGGTTAATATAATTCCCAAGTGCATAATTGTTTTAAAAAAATTACGTTTACTATGCTGAATTAGCATTGTCACCAGCCCCAAAGTGGTGAAATCTAGTATTGTTATAAACATGATAAATGCCAAAAAAAAAAAAAAAAGAAAACGGAAGAGGACTTGGGGATGGAGACTGAATGTTATATATTATTATTAAGTAAATAGATGTGTAATGAAGTAAATAAATGTTTTGCTTTTTTTTAATTTTGCGACCTACTATTTTGGACCGGCAACCATCACTTCGGACCAGCTTATTTTGTCTTCTTGCCAGTCCAAATGACTGGCTATCTAAAAAAGTTTTCCACAACTCTGTGTAAGTTACTTGAGTTAAGTCCGTTTGTAGAAATTAGATGCAGAGCGTCAGGAACATGGTGAATTGCGGATAAAATACCAGAAGATGGTGATTGATTTCTCAGACACAAAATCACAGGTCAAACATGATAACTTCAAAGTGGAAAATTATGACAGAGTCAAAAGGTGCGTGTAAAAATAAAGAAGTTTGGGAGTAAATAGAATTGAACTTATAACCTACAAGAAAACTATTTGTGCACATTTTTTATGCCCCTGGATCGAAAGATCCCTTGGGTATATTGTTTTTGTCCTGTCTGTCTGTTTGTCTGTCTGTCTGTTGTCAACTTTAACCTAGCCCATAACTATTGCGCTGTCAAGGGTAAGGCTTTAATATTTGACGTGAGTATTCATTATGACAAGACCTTTCCATTGGTACAGAAATTTGATCATGTGACCTCGACTGTGACCTTTGACTTACATTTGAAAAACTTTAACATTGGCCATAACTATTGCACTGTAGTCTACGTCCCACTCCAGAATTGTGTTACCATCGGGGGCATAGTGTTTCACAAACACATCTTGTTTTTATCTTGCTTTAGTGAGAAAGATGGTTTAGAGCAGGATCGATTGGATATTCAGCGACAGTTTTCAGTACTAGAAGGATCTCATCAGACTCTCACCAAGGAGAGAGATGATCTGCACAGTGAGGTATAAACACCGAGTTCAAACAGTCCTATCACTCAGAATTGTCTCAGAAATTTTTCTTGATTTGAATGCTTATACAGACTTGTCGAAATCCGTCGGTCCTGTCGGCAAGGCCGGTAAAAATTTGTCTGGACTGATAACTTTTAAGAAAACGTCGGTCCAAATGACCCTTTGAAAAAATCGAGCGTGACGCAAATTTAAAAAAGGTCGGGATCGGGATCCGCAACTGAAGGTTGCAAACAAAGAGGAGAAGACCGTGTGCGCGGCGTAGTGACGATGGTCAATTTAAAATGTTACAGGAAAGACATAATATATGTTATTTATGTCTCTTATTAAAGACTCTCTATCCTAAGAAAAGAAACTTGTGAGATTGAAGGCTGTTGAAAATAATAAAGGGCATTTTGGTGCTGCTATTTATTTTCCTTTCTCAGCGTCAAAATAAGGTACATGTATCTGGTCTGACAAAACTTCATCCGGTCCGACAGAACATTTGACTTTGTCAGACCAAATGTCTGACAGTGATTTCAAAATTTCGACAAGTCTGTTATACAATATGTACTATCTAAAAGAGTTGTTGTCTAGGGGAGAAAATTCTCAATACAAAAAAATCGAGTGTACTCTGAAATATGAAAGAATCTTCTGCATCAGAATTTATTTTTACATGAATATGTGTCAGAAAAATAGAATGTTTATTACCTGTAACAATAATCCTGGGCACATGTTTTTTAGCTCACCTGAGCTGAAAGCTCAAGTGAGCTTTTCTGATCACATTTTGTCTGTAGTCCGTCTGTCCGTCTGTCTGTCTGTCCGTCTGTCTGTAAACTTTTCATATTTTCAACTTCTTCTCCAGAACCACTGGGCCAATTTCAACCAAACTTGCCACAAAGTATCCTTGGGTGAAGGGGATTCAAGTTTGTTCAAACGAAGGGCCATGCCCTCTTTCAAGGGGAGATAATTAAGAATTAGTGAAAAATGAATAGTATCTTTTAAAAATCTTCTTCTCAAGAACCACAGGGCCAGGAAAGATGAAACTCATATGGAAGCATCCCCAGGTAGTGTAGATTCAAGTTTGTTCAAATCATGACCCCCGGGGGTAGGGCGGGGCCACAATGGAGGATCAAAGTTTTACATAGAAATACATAGGAAAAATCTTTAAAAATCTTCTTCTCAAGAACACTAAAGCCATGAAGAGTCATATTTATATGGAAGCATCCTCAGGTAGTGTAGATTCAAGTTTGTTCAAATCATGACCCCGTGGGGTAGGGCGGGGCCACAATGGATGATCAAAGTTTTACATAGAAATATATAGGAAAAATCTTTAAAAATCTTCTTTTCAAGAACAGTAAAGCCATGAAGAGTCATATTTATATGGAAGCATCCTCAGGTAGTGTAGATTCAAGTTTGTTCAAATGATGACCCCCGGGGGTAGGGCTAGGCCACAATGGAGGATCAAAGTTTTACATAGAAATACATAGGAAAAATCTTTAAAAATCTTCTTCTCAAGAACAGTAAAGCCATGATGAGTCATATTTATATGGAAGCATCCTCAGGTAGTGTAGATTCAAGTTTGTTCAAATCATGACCCCGTGGGGTAGGGCGGGGCCACAATGGAGGATCAAAGTTTTACATAGAAATATATAGGAAAAATCTTTAAAAATCTTCTTTTCAAGAACAGTAAAGCCATGAAGAGTCATATTTATATGGAAGCATCCTCAGGTAGTGTAGATTCAATTTTGTTCAAATCATGACCCCGTGGGGTAGGGCGGGGCCACAATGGAGGATCAAAGTTTTACATAGAAATATATAGGAAAAATCTTTAAAAATCTTCTTCTCAAGAACAGTAAAGCCATGAAGAGTCATATTTATATGGAAGCATCCCCAGGTAGTGTAGATTCAAGTTTGTTCAAATCATGACCCCCGGGGGTAGGGCGGGGCCACAATGGAGGATCAAAGTTTTACATAGAAATATATAGGAAAAATCTTTAAAAATCTTCTTCTCAAGAATAGTAAAGCCATGAAGAGTCATATTTATTTGGAAGCATCCTCAGGTAGTGTAGATTCAATTTTGTTCAAATCATGACCCCCGGGGGTAGGGCGGGGCCACAATGGAGGATCAAAGTTTTACATAGAAATATATAGGAAAAATCTTTAAAAATCTTCTTCTCAAGAAAAGTAAAGCCATGATGAGTCATATTTATATGGAAGCATCCTCAGGTAGTGTAGATTCAATTTTGTTCAAATCATGACCCCGTGGGGTAGGGCGGGGCCACAATGGAGGATCAAAGTTTTACATAGAAATATATAGGAAAAATCTTTAAAAATCTTCTTCTCAAGAATAGTAAAGCCATGAAGAGTCATATTTATTTGGAAGCATCCCCAGGTAGTGTAGATTCAATTTTGTTCAAATCATGACCCCCTGGGGTAGGGCTAGGCCACAATGGAGGATCAAAGTTTTACATAGAAATATATAGGAAAAATCTTTAAAAATCTTCTTCTCAAGAACAGTAAAGCCATGATGAGTCATATTTATATGGAAGCATCCCCAGGTAGTGTAGATTCAATTTTTGTTCAAATCATGACCCCCGGGGTAGGGTGGGGCCACAATGTAGGATCAAAGTTTTACATAGAAATACATAGGAAAAATCTTTAAAAATCTTCTTCTCAAGAACAGTAAAGCCATGATGAGTCATATTTATATGGAAGCATCCTCAGGAAGTGTAGATTCAATTTTGTTCAAATGATGACCCCCGGGGGTAGGGTGGGGCCCAATGGGGGATCGAAAGTTTTACATAAAAACATATAGAAAAAAAATTTCTTCTCAAGAATAGAAAACCTATGTTAGTCTTATTGATATGGAAGCATCCTCAGGTAATGCAGATTCAAGTTTGTAAATGATGACCCCTGAGATAGGGTGGAGCTACAATGGGGGATCAAATTTTTACGAAGAAATAAATGGGAAAATTCTTTTAAAATCTTCTCAAGTACAACAAATTCATTTGTTATATTGACATGGAAGCATCATCAGGTAGTTTAAAATTTAACCCCCCCCCATTCATTACTGAACTGATTTGTGCCTTAGTCTAGCCAATGTGCTCAGGTGAGCGATGTGGCCCATGGGCCTCTTGTTTTTTCTCCTTAGCTTTCTGCAGCCAAGCAGTCCCTGTCCTTGCTGAAGCAGGACAAAGAGTACCTGACAAAGCAGGTGTCTGACCTGACTAACAGGTGTACCTACGCAGAGGAGAAGGTCCAGCAGTCCGCTCATGAACTGGAGGATGCCAAGAGGGCCAGGGAGGAGATGTATGAGAAATATGTGTCTTCAAGGTATAAAACAAGTACAAGTTCTATGACATCACATCAAGTCTAGTGTATTATGAATTATAATGGGTGATACTGGAGGATAACGTAAAAGTGGGATTTTTTCACAGAGTTCTAACTTTAGCTTATTGTAGTGGTTTCTTGGTAGCCTGCTAAAATTTGAATGCTAAAATTTGCACCTGAATGCAAGAAAGATAACTTTGATCAGTTTCAAACTTCCTCTTTCTGCACTTATCAGTATTTTAGTATGCTTATTGAACTTATTATAATAATGATTCATGATTTGAACTATTTTGAAGTAAAATTATCATTTTTAGTGTTTCTTTACTCTTACCAGTAATCATTCTCTAAAGTGGTATTAATTTATGCTACTGGTTTACAATGTCTTACTCCAGCATGCTAGAGGTTCACGGCGAGAAACTTTTGACTTGGCGCCGAGGTATACTAGTATAAGGAGCGTAGGGACGTTAACCGAGGCTCTTACTTGTAGGAGTAACAATGTCTTGGAACTCTTGTGTCCGACAACAACAAATTCTGCCAAAATTATTGGCATACCTTTGAGCAAGCAAAAAACCAAATTTTACACTCCTTTAAGAAACTCACTATATGCTATTTGAGATTTTTAAACTGCTTCTATGTTAAAAGTGTCTCAAGGATCTTTAGTTTTGCAGTCAGAAAATATGTGCTGTTGTACCCATTTTTTCTTAAAAACATAGGAAAAAGGCAAGGACTAAAAAAATAGAATAAACTAAAGGTTGAAATTTTACTTGCTATTAAAAAATAACTGATTTTTAAAGTAAGAATATCTTTTAATACATGATTGTATTGTTAAACATTTATTTTGAAGGGACCAGTATAAAACAGAATATGAAAATAAACTAAGAGAAGAGCTTGAACAAATACGACTGAAAACAAATGGAGAAATTGATCGACTTCGCACCAGCACTAAAGAGATGTATGAGAGAGAAAACAGGTATTTATACACTGGACATTTGTTTTTGGGAAATAGAGCTAATGTCATATCGGTATTGACACATTTTGATTTTTGCAGAAATTTACGAGAAGCAAGAGACATGGCGATATCTGAGAAAGACAGAGCAATAGCAACAGAAAGAGAAACTTCAACAAAATATGAACAGCTTCTCACAGAGTATGTACTGTTTAAAGTCCAGTTTATCATGATAATCCCTTTTATTACAGAAATCTGGTTTCATTTTGTAGTTTAAAGTTTAGTGGTATATTTTACCAAGTTTGGCAATATAGAGGATAGGCAGGACAGAAGCTTTTCAAAGAAATTATGAGATAAAAAATTTTCAAAAAACAATTTGTAAAGAAAAATCTTAAAGCTATATATGGCATATCTGAGCTAAAAAATAATAATAGGAGACTGAGTGTAGATAAACATGATATATGTTTTATGTTCAAATTAAAATTTTCACCGATTTTGAACTTGAATAACCTCACATTTCTATACTTTAATTTCTTTTTATCTGAACTTAAAAAAAATATGCCATATATGGCTTTAACTATGGTATTTAGAATTATTTAATTTTTCTAATCGGAGCAGAAAAAATATATTATAACAAGAACATTTATTTTGATATCAGAGTCAAGCCATATTTTCACCCTCATTCACAATAATTTTGCCTCTCCAGTGTTTTTTTTTTTAAATGATTTCCTCACGTACTGATGATGACTAACCACTTCTCAATCTATTCACCAAAAAATCAATAGCACCATTGTTCCAGGAATCAAAAGATACTTTCCTGATAAAGTTGAAAGCTGTGGGAATTTTGCACTGTTGCAGTGAATCACTTCACCACTGCTATATACCTTTTGACTCAGGCTCTTTCTGATCTTTGAATGTAATAAAAAAAAAAGGACAAAGTGTAAAAGTTTGTTTTGTCTTAGGTTTCTGTACACATACCGGGGTACATGTACTTTTGGTGTAAAATTTTCCCCTCCCATTTTCCCTTAAATATCACCAAGCTGGTGGTGGCATTTTGTAGAAGGAATTTGCAAAGTATTGCAGTGATTTATGATATGAGAACAATTTTCAATTACCGGTATCCTGTAAAACACTGCTGAGTAGAAAATTAGTTGTGTTAGGAATGCATGAAGTGGAAGAAATACAGACAGAATTTTATAAATGGGGGTTACTTAAATTTTTATCAGTATTCTGGGTTACGAAGACTAAGTTACGGGGGTTTGTTTCAACAGCGGCTGTGTATTGTGAATTATTTAATTGGTCGACTGTAGCATTTAAGATTTAAACACACATGAGTTTTTAAATTTTTAAAGAAAGATACAGTTGAACTTCGGTATCTCACACATGGATATCTCAAATACCATGGATATGTTGAAGTGATTGAGAAGTTCTTGCCACATATTTCTTCAGTATTTTACCCTCGATATCTCGAATTCTCGGATATCTTGAAGTTTTTTTCTTGGTCCCATCAAGTTTGAGATAACGAAGTTTGACTGTATTTTAAAAGTATTGTAACTGGTTACAATCTTTCCAGTCAATTACCGGGTTAGTCAGTTAAACGTAGGGCTGGGTATCTGCTGGGAATTTTGTATTGCAATATACTGCGATATATTTATTAACAGTTAAAATGATCTTTTCTTATTTTATTAACTCTATTTATCAGCAGAGTGTATATAACTGTTATAAATATGTTGTAACTAAAAAGTTGTTATTGATTAAACTACAGTTTTGCAACAAAATGCATCGATACAACAACAACCTTTACCGTTTGGCACAATGGAATAATATATTTCTTTCATTTCAAATTTTACTGTAAAAATCCCAAGCCCAAGCATTTTGCCAGTATACCAGTACTGAAAAAAGCTTTTGCAATACAATATTTTTTATCAGCGAATTACAATATACAGGAATATTGAAAGTATTATACAGCCCTAGTTAAACAGTTACTAGTTGCCATCCCAAGTTATAATCAATTTTTAGCTCTACTGGTCAGAGACCAGAAGAGCTTATGCGATAGTAAGGTGTCTGTCGTCCGTCCGTCTGTCTGTCTGTCTGTCCGTCCGTCTGTAAACAATTTTTCAAAATGCTACTCCTCCTACAGTTTTGGTCTGATTTCAATATAACTTGGCACACAAGTAGACTATAGGCTACTAAGATGCATAATTCTGTGTATCAGTTTTTGATTTCGATGAACGGTGTTGCCATGGTTACTAAAAATAGAAATTTCTGTGAAATACTTTCAAAATACTACTCCTCTTACAGTTTTGGTCTGATTTCAGTATAACTTTGCAAACAAGTAGACTACACTAAGATACATAATTCTTTATATTGATTTTCTGATTTGGATGAACATTGTTGCCATGGTTACTAAAATTAGAAATTTTCTTGAAATACCTTCAAAATGCTACCCCTACAGTTTTGGTCTGATTTTAGTATTACTTAGCACACAAGTAAACTACACTAAGATACATAATTCTCTGTACCAGTTTCGGATTTCGATGAACAGTGTTGCCATGGTTACTGAAAATAGAAATTTTCTTGAAATACTTTCAAAACACTACTCCTCCTACACTTTTTGTCTGATTTCAGTATAATGTGGCATACAAGTAGACTACAGAGATACATAATTGGTGTTATTGTTTTTTGATTTTGTTGAATGATGTTGCCATGGTTACTTAAATCAAAATTTCTGTAAAATTGTTTTAAAAGGCTACTCCTCCTACAGTTTTAGTCGGATATAATAATAAATCTTGCCACAAAAGAGACTAAACCAAGGATCATTATTCTATTTATTGCTGTTGCAAAGTTTCAAGTCCAAGTGCTACTTTTATCTTCCTTTATAAATACAACCAGTAGAGCTACAGTCTCGTCAGAGACTTCTGGTTGTGATTTGTCATGATGAGTTCAGATTGCCCATGCTAATTGGAAACAGTTCCTTGATCAGTATAAAAATATGGTTGAATCTAAATCGAACATATATTTTAGGTTTCGTCAAGTGCAGATGCATGGAGACAGTAAAACTGCAGAACTACAGAATGAGATGAAGTTGAAAAGTTTTGAGTTGGAGAGATTACAGATGGTGCATGAAGAAATGCTACGTAACCTAAGTCAGGCCAAACTAGACATAGAGAAGCTAGAAAAGAAGGCAGAGGTAAGATCTTTCTTCACAATAAAATCTATTTTTTATCTATAGATAAAAGATGATCTTTTCAACTATATATATATGAAAAAAAATTATCCATAGATCAATAGATACTTGCTACTTGTAGCAAGTTAAAAATAGTGTTTGTGTGTGTGTTTTTTTAAGGAAAGCTTTATATCTTAGCTGCCTAAATTTTCCTGCATTATGACTGATTGTTTTCAGGTCCTGACGAAAGAGTACTACACTCTCCAAGCTGGGATGGATAAAAAAGTTGCTGAACTCGAGACTCAGATGTCAGAGAAAAATGCCAAGATCCAGATGTATGAGCGAGTGGAGAAGGAACTGGATGAGGTTGTTCTTCAAGCTGCGCAAGGTCAGATAAATCATGAGCAATTTTAAAAATGACTCAGATATCATAGGGGATAAATGTGTATTTATTGTCATTATTCGTTTTATTTTTGAGTTGCACACATCAAAAGTGTTGACAGGTACCAGTGAATTTTTTTTTTCTGAAGATTTGGAATATAATAATAAATTATCAGAATTTTATTTAATGAAGAGACTTAAAACCACACATCAACAAACATCTAAAACTATATCATTATTAAAGAAGCCACGAATTATTAATTATACTGATGTAGAAAAAAGCAGATTTACTATTAGTCTTAACTAATGGCTGTTGTTTATGTAAGAGACAAACAAAACTCAAACATTGAAGTACATGTATGAAGTATTGGGAATTGCAATTTAATTCTATATTAATTTTGATTTCAGTTGAAGATGACCAAGAGGCAGAAAAAGTTCTGTTTTCTTATGGTTATGGTGCTAATGTTCCTACCACATCTAAAAGAAGATTGGAACAAAGGTATTTTTTAGGAAGTTATCTTCTTCATCTTTAAGGAAGTAGAATATTTCTTGGTGATCTGGAAGTAGGATAATGACCATGATTTATTTATGTGCAACTTAAGGACATACGCAACGTAGTTTGAACTTTATTGTCTTTTTCCCTGGAGTTGAAGAGTTCCAATACTTAAAGGGACTGTGTGCTACATTTTAGTGTCTATTTATGCTGGTGTACACTTCTTCTAAAACAAGTTTGGATAAATAAAACATCTAGAATATATGTTTAGTATTTTTTGTATATTTTTCTTTGAATTAGACATGAATTTCTTTTCAAAACCCCTGGTAATGCATGCTGATTTTTTGTCTACGAACATCTAATGGCACTATAATCTTAAATTAAGAATATCTTGAAAAATTATCAGTAGGTAAGGTACGTTGCGTATGTCCTTAAAGAGCATGGTCAAATATTTATGTCAGGCTAATATCAGTTATACATATTCACTAGTCCCAGTGGGGGAGGGAGGAAAGGGGAGATATGATTCTCACATACTTTTCTTTTCATTCTTTGTTTAAGAAAAGGTATTGAAATTTATTTCTTCCCCTAATATTCTTACATTTTGAGAGATTGAATAATGATATGTTTTTTGTAGTGTTCATTTAGCTAGAAGAGTGTTGGCTCTTGAGAAGATAAACACACAACTTCGACAAGATTTAGAAAGAGAAAAAACCAAAATTAAACAACTGGCTGAGGAGGTATTTTTAAAGATGTATATTATCTTATCTGTCTTGTATATCTATAATCTAATACAAATTCCTTAAGTTTGTAAAGTTTAAGTAATATAATTTTATTTCATTTCAGCTTAAAAGCAGCAATTCAATATTAGACCAAGCACAGCAGCCATATAATTATTTAATAGACAGTATACGTCAAAGAGATGTACAGATGAATAAACTGAAAGAACACATTGCTAATCTAGAGGCTGATGTGCAGTGAGTGTATAGTTAATAAAATTCTAACACCTTGTAACTTGGTAATGGTCTATGCTCATCCATGTCACAGAAAGTTAGAAAATCTATATTGGAACTTGTTTACAATGTCAGATATACCCAACAGCATTTGAGAAACACTTTTTATTTGAGAAAACATTCTTTTATATACATCCAATTTTTTTTTTTTCAGACAACTTGAAAAGGAGAGAAATGATCTTGTCAGGACCAAAAATAACATGTCCTTGGATTTAGAACGCTTGCTGAACCAGAAAGAGGTCAGTCATTCTAGAAAATTCACTGTAGTACAAAGAACACGCAAAGTTTAAATATTCTATTGATAGGAGTATAATTGAAACATGGTGTATAATTTTGTCTTGTGTAGTGTTATTTCCCTTTGTTTAGCATTTTATAATGTAAAGATAAACTTAGTGGTAATCACTTTACAAAGAAAAAAATGTTTTATTTTTAAATGGAAAATCGGCTACATGTAAGGGGTAATATTTTTGGACACTTTTATGAAAAATTCTACTCTCCAGACAGAGCCTAAGTGCACAAATACTGAAGTAAAACTTCAGCTTTACAAGAAATACATGGTGCAGCCCATATTTCAATGATTCTTTTATCTAAACAATGAATATTTTGTTTAAATTGCTCTGTAGTTAATGAGAATTAATCAACAATAATTCCATTGGTCTTTTAGGAGATGTCAGTCATGAAACAAGTGGTGATGAACTTGTCCAATCGTCAGTATGGAGAGAAGAAGACAAAGTCACGTGATCTAGCAAGACCCAAAAGTCCATCCTTGCACAAACCATTTGGATCCTTTGAGCCGCATGATGAACCAGAAGTTGTTAAGCCTGGGTTCATAACAGTTGTAAGTACTAAATATGTGTCTTGTATAAATTGATTATATCTTAGCATGAGTCATTTGAAAAGCACCTGTATGTAGTGTATAGACAAATTCTATCGAGTCATGGTCCCCGGGGTTAGACTAGGGTCACAATAATGGGTCATAGTTATATTTTATATTGTTTAAGAAGAACAGAACTAGATGTACTTAATTACTGTATACACATGTATACTCGTATGTATATAAGGGATTTTAGTCCAGAACTCTATAAAACTTAAACACTAAAGTGTCAGAGTCCTACAAACATTAGTATATTTCTGGACAACAGAATGCAGCATTTTGTTAATAACTTGGACAATTATCATTGATAAAGGTTAGGACATATTCTTAAGATTCTCACATGCAGGAAAGGAATATCTAAGATAACCATGTACATTAAGTACAAGTGCTTAGAGATTTCAAAGATTTTTGTTTTATTTGAAAAAAGTGTTTTGTTTAATGTGGTTACTGTTTGCATAACAATAAAAGATCAGAAATCAATGTCACTTTGAGACCAAGTTTATTTCAATCATGGACCAGGGGGGTTAAGGGTTGGACCTGTCCACTATAGGAGGTCAAAGTTGTACACAGAATTTATAGACTTCTGCAAGAACAACAAGTGTACAATTAGTAAAATTGAAATTAAGCCTAAATATACTCAATATATATTCAATTAATACAATTGAATAATTGATATACAATCAATTATATTCAAATCATAATTTTCTGGTGGATGGTAGCAATAAGGAAGGGGGGAGGGGGGGGGGAGGTAGGGTCATTTAAAATGTAAACATGTACCTGTATTTCTCTAGAACAGAGAGGTGACTCAAATAAGTACTATGACCCATGAGTGTTTTTTTTTTCCTTTTTTCAGACAAATGATAAATCTCATTGGTCCAAAAAACTGAAACAGAAGAATGTAGAACAATCCACCAAGTTCTCTAAGGTTTATGCCACGGCCAAGTCCTGACCAGCACTGGAGAGTAATGAATGAGCACTCACATAGGTGCCTGGAGAAAAATCATTGGAAAAAGTTCTTATTGAGTGAAGGTTGGACAAAATATTGACTGAGCAGAGATAGGGAAAAAAAGGTTTTAATGACACAAAAATGTATGTGGTTAGTATAAGAGAAGTTCCAGAGTATTTTTTGAATGGGTTTTGTAAACAAACAAATATGTCTAGGATTATTTGTTGACTGTGATAATGAATATGAACAAAAACTATTGACTGAAGAATAAATGACAAAATCATGTCTTAAATGCAACTCGATTTTAATGATATAGTCATGTATTTATATACAACATATCACATATCTTTTTCATTTATGAAATAAAAAATAAAGTTAATAAATTTTCTTATGTGTTTTTCATATAAAAAAAATTGTACATGGTTGTGCCAAACTATTTAAGAACAAACTTTTAGCTGAAAAGGTATTTTTTTTCCGCTTACTCCAAGAGATTTTTTTTTTACTGGAACTGTAACATGAGCTAATGGTATTGCCTAATTAATTTTTTGATTCATAACCCATTAAATGGGATGTATATTTCTAATTATTACTGTTGTCAATATAAGTAAGGATGTGACTGAGATCACGGTATGATGCATACATTTATACAAAGAATTTGACACAAAATGACACACAAGAAGCCATTTTTAATGGTGTGTGAACAAAAATGATGACCTGGTGTTGATAAATGACTAGAATAAAACAGTTGACTCTCTAAATATGTCATAATCAAGCACTTGGAGGGTTTAATTGATTGATATCATTTCACTTTGGTAGGCTCCATTGTCTCAGAATTGCTCATGCTTGGTGACGGTCTGTGTTTAAGGGTTGGTGTTAAAAATCTGTAAAAATCCTTGTATTCCACTTGTTGCGCTTTATTTCTTCTTTCATCTTCAAATGCTATATATCGAACTTCTCTTTCTATTACTGAAACAAACAAAAATACAGTAAAATGTACGTAAAAAGAACATCTTGATTTAAGTTTGTAATATATGTATATGAAATCCAATATTGACAATTATGTAATTTCAATGCACTATTACCAGTATTTGAGGGTATACTTATTCCCACCTCTGTCTGGTGAACCTATGAAAAAGGCGCCTGCTATTTAGTGTAAATGCAATTGAAAATGCCTCGAACCTCTTGAAAAACCCAGGACAAAATTATAAATTATAGATTGCTTTAATCTTCCTCAATTGTTCTGACAGTTTCTGCCTATTAATCACACAAAAGCTGGCCTGTTATTGATTTGGGAGGAAATCTGTTATGTACATTTCTCTCCTTAGTTAAAAATTCAGAATTCTTTTCGTCTCCGAGAGGATCCATAAATTCAATTATATTACAGTGCCTCTATCTTTGCCTTAAACTTCTTGTGTGTTAATTTTTTCATCCAGATATTGATGGAGGAAATTGACAACGTATAAACACATTGGAATTCGATATTTTTCTTTACTTGTCTTTTGAAAACAGGGATTAGAATCCGCGATAAAACATTTTAAGTACCAGTTCATTTTGTTTGATTTTATTAAACATTTTAAGAATTATCAGACAATTGAAACGGTATGGCAGTGTAAGAAATCATTCAATAGTGATAACGTCAAAGCGGGATACATACTATCTACATTTATCTTGGGCCAAAGGATACTAAACATAAGTACTCTCAAGGTTTTAGCCATATCAGTTAAAACAGAGAATCATATTGTGATTAAATACTCGTAAACATAGAACTCAGTTGTATACTTAGTACAACAATAAAGAATTCCAGGATGAAATTTGCAAGATCATTTAAAACGTTTAATGCCAAGATTACATATGTACTTATTTTCATTACACCCTCTCCTTTTAGATGTCAAATTCTCTCTCTCTCTCTCTCTCTCTCTCTCTCTCTCTCTCTCTCTCTCTCTGGAAAGAAACTTACATTCCGGGGAAGGAAGGGTGTTATGGATTTCCGTGTTCGATTTCCTAAGGTTGCCATAGAGATTAAATTTCCTTATTTCTACTTGAACACTTGGTGGCCTAAATATTCCGGGAATAGTCAAAGTCTCCTCTGTCCGGGGCCGCTGTCGTCCCCGCCGGGTCTCCAGGAATAGCCGAGACCTGTCTGTGAAATAAAAAAAAAAATAAATGAATAAAAATTACATTTCTTTAGAAGAAATATTGGTTTTCTCAGAGAGTATGAATTCTTGTTAAAATGAAGAAAACAAATCAATGCACCTTTAGGATTCATGTCGACACATTTTAAAATTGATATTTATATAGTATGCACAAAATTAAATGCAACAAACAATTGCAGGATTAGAAATCAAATCCACTTACCTCTGAATATATCGGGGAATTTTATGACCATTTCTACCCCGATAATTAAAATATAGTTGCTTCTGAAATTTTATCCACGAGTTTTAACGATCCGACATAGTAATTTAAATAAAAATCTGGTAAGTAAGAGATCACATTTCCGAAACCAAAGATTATAAACTGACGCAGAATTATAAGGTCCACCGAAGTCCTAATGCTCTTTATTACCAACAAATTAAACCGGCTTAACTGTTAGGATTTTAAAACTTAACTGTTTATCCGTTGTTAGAAAGAGTTATAGTATATCATAAGCGCTGAGTAAATCAAACAATGGCGCTAAATGATTCTGGCCTTTGTAAGATTTATGGCTTTTTAAGTGAAGATATCTACAGTGTGCGCTTAGACAAACAACATGTCAATACAATGTCCGAGGAACCCTTTCTTATGCTACGACATGTATATTGTCAGCCCAGCTACTGTGCTCCAGGCTCATTTGCCAACCTTACTTTGTAAATCTTTATATAGTAATCTTTTTAGAGCACACATTTAGAACAATAAGCCTTTACAGGTTTATTTTCTATTCATTGATTGGGGCTGTACATAGACTGTTATAAAAAGAAATCCGTGTCAATATTTTCTCTGCTGTACCTTCAATTTATGCTGGCCTTAAGCAAATACGGTTAAATCCGTTCTGAAATGGTAAAGTTCGAAATTTTTACTGGAGGTCCAATTTTCTTTTGTATTTAGTTGGTATGTTAATTGAACGGCGCTACAATCTAAGACCATCAGAGGGAGTTTGTTTGCATTAAATGAATAATAGAAACATGGTCAGAAATCGAAAACTTCTCGACGATATATAAAAGAGCCCCCCCCCCTTTCCCATCTTAAAAAAAATATTCTTATCTGTATCTGTAAAATAAAAGGATTTGTATCAGTCTGCATAAATTTATATAGTTATTAATATTGTACCCAACGTACCAATATGTTTGGTTTTGCTGAATAAATTGAACTTGGACTATGAAAAGATTCAACAGTGCATGAATATGTATCCGAAGATTCCAAAGGAACAAGGATCCCCCGCATTTTGAAAAGATGAAAGAGAGCCAGTGATTACGGTCCAAGATCGAAAAAGCCCTCTTCTAAGTTTTGTTTTGAATTAATGCTGCTACGGCCTATTTTCGTTGTATCTGACTGAGTGAAATTCATAAAAATACTGGAGAGCATCTTAACGAAAGGCTTGAAATTTATCCATGAGAAAATAATTTTGATTGAATTAATCTTAAACCTTTGGAATTCCATATACGGCAGCCAACTGCCTACTGCCAACTACCAGCTGCTTACTGTCAACTGCTATACTATTGCGTGTTTTGCTTGAATAAACCCTATGGTAGCAAGGATATTACAATAATTACAACAAAATTGGCGGATTCAGGAATTTTTAAATGGTGAAGGCGAGGAAGGAATATACAGAACCATTTTAAGGAAGAGTCTATTACTTAAAACGTCAGAAAACATTTTTTTTTTTTGGGGGGGGGGGGGGCTTTTAGTAGGACCTTGGGCAATATTTGTTGGTATATGCATTTATACTAGAAATAATAACGAAAAACCTTAATAAAAGACATTTTACTTCATGTAAAAACAGTTTATCTTAGGTAAGGAAGCAATTTCGGGGGGGGGGGGGCTGGGCAACAGAAATCTCTTGACAAGTTATAAAAAAAAGGTCACAGGCGTCATTACTGAAGGTCCACTTCTGTATAGTATATGTTGGCAATTTATTGGGGACTACCCCCCACCCCCCAATGTTTTTACAAATTTGACATTAGCCATAAAAACGATAAGATACATATAAAAATTCACAAAATATAGGTACTTTTCATACGTAAAAAGAAACACTAAAAGATAGTGCTGGATATTTTAACCCCCCCCCCCCCCCCGGTCAGAAAACTATTGAATTATTTGCCTGCAAGAAAATGTGGGAATTAAATGTTTTGTTCTTAAAGGGAAATATTCCTTCTTCCGATTTACTTCTTCCTCGCCTTCACAGTTTAAAAATTTCTAGATCCGCCAGTTTTTGTTATTATTGTAAGAAATACGCACGCTAACTCTCGATTCCAGCCTACATTTACATCCATTTAAATATAAATGGCAATTTGGCCATTAGAACTTGTTTGAATGCAAAGAAAGTTCATTAGTAATGGATTAATAATTTTGAAAACCAGTATCAAAAAGTTAATTGCTCTTATTTACAACTCCTTTCATAAGGTGGTAAAAAATTTTATCAATTGAAATCAAGCTTTAAAACATCACTAGATTTTCCAGTTTACCAGTTTATTTGTATCTCTTTGGTTGTTATTTAACAACATAGAGATCAAAGCAACATATTACATTTATAACAATTAACATACATGCGTGAGCAGAACATGTAACATATATACAAAATGTGTTTATAATTACATCATAATTCTATATACACATGTATATATAAATGTTATTAATCAGGAGGTTTGACTCTCTCGCTTATAAACGAACAAAGTTTACTTAATAGCCTAACATTTTTGGAAGAGAACAATTCATTAAACTTTTTAACATTTGGGCTTGAAACATAATATTTGGGAATATACAATTTTCTTTCATCTTTTAACTTGTTACAGCATAAAATATAGTGGAATTCGTCATCTACATCATTTTCACATAAAAGACATATTCGGTAGTCTGTGATTTGATGTTCTGAATCTAGCTAAAATTTGTTTCTTATGATTATTTAAGACGCTATCTACCAGCATCTTTAACAAAATACCAAGTTCTTGTTCAATCTCATATGATATTGTTGAGACTCCAATATTATTACGTGTAATACTCATGGAAATGGATAAATTACTTAAATCTCCCCTTGTTTAACTTAAGTAAAATTTAACATGTCAGATTGATAAAGTACATTTATTTTTATTTAATTGTTATCTCATTTCAAATGCGTAATAAAACGACAATATATTTTCCTGTTCTTAAACATACCCCCCCCCCCCCCCCCGTAAAACTGTTAACAACAAAACATTTCAGGCCTCTAAAATTTAGGCGCCAGCTGGCGCCTTATTAAAAAAAATTTAGTCGCCAATGCAAATTTTTAGTCGCCAGGCAATATTTTTAAGGCGCCAACTTTAAAAGTTAATAGTAATCAATATAGGGACCCATGATGTGACTAAGAAAACACGACATGTCCATTCCTAAAATTAATTTCCTTTTCTTTTAAATTTCTTTTACCTTTTTCAGAAAAATTGTTAAAAATGTTAAAATTCCCAGAATTCGACGATCGTCAAGTCAGTTTAAAATGGTCGCCAATTTGGCGACTTACGGAAAATTTTTTAGGCGCCAATCAAAAATTTTAGGCGCCATGGCGACTAAATTGGTCGCCAATTAGAGCCCTGCATTTGGTATGAATTTGTGAAATAACAATTTATAATATCTGGGATTTCATCATCCCAATCAAAAAAAAAAAAAATCCCAGACGTGGGTTCCACGATTTCTAAAGGGGGGGGGGGGGGGGGGGTTCCAGTCCAACACGTAAAATCATTTCCCAAAACGTATCGAAAGTAAAATCCATTTCCCAGACATGGGGTCCACGATTTCTGGGGGGGGGGGGGTTCCAAAGTCATTTTTATTTGCTTCAGTATATACTTTTAATAACTCTGCAAATTCCAGGGGGGGGGGGGGGGGCACCTTGGCCTTTTTATGATCAAACAAGCATTCTGAGAGTATTGCATTAGCAATACTAGTCCCCTACCGGCAAGTGTAATCTGGTTTCCTTTAAAAATTGAAAATGCTATAATTCTGTCAAAAATCATTGAACTATAACTAATCAAGATAAAGTCAAATACCAAAAATTAGCTCAATATTTGCAAGCGTTTAGGGAAAAAGTGCATAAAACCAAGTGGGACAGACTGACAGACAGATGCTGAGGAAACCTTTAGTCCCCTCCGGTTTCACTGGTAGGGGACTAATAAATGGCAGTCTTTCCAAGCAGATCTGATTATACCCAGTCTTCATGTAATTGGAATTGAATAAATTTTATACAGCAACCATAAACTGTTGCATAATTAAATAGGCAATAATTCTTGTGATAAAAAGGCTACCAAAAGTAATCTCAGTCCATTTTCCACAGTTGATGAAATTCACAAGATAATAATGCCATATATAATTATTGTGTTAAAAGCAATAATTTGGGTTTCCATTCAGCAATGAAGTTCAACGTGTGAACTAGAGGTACTGTGAGTAAGATCACAAAATTTTACCCCAAGCTACAATTTTTAAAAATGTTCTTATATAAATTTCTCTAAAAGTGACCTAAAATAATCTTGGTTCAGAGATTTGGATGCAAGTAACTTTAATGTGATGTACATGTATGGTCTTCCAATGTTTCCTTATTTGGAGTTACGGACTTAACACTGAACACTTTTTCTGTTATGGCTTGGAAAAGATGTATGGGCATATGGATGGTAAATAAGGTGATTTCTATATACCTACCACTCAAACTTCATTTGTCAGGGGGTTGGGGTGGAGGGAGAGGGTGGGTAACAGAAATGCACAAGTGTTAATTATAATCAACTCCTGGAAAAAAAGACATAACATAAAATGTATGAAAACATATATCCCCTCATGTCCTGTTTGACCCTTGGTCTTGTGACATCAAATTCAATAGGGGTCATCTACTCTGAAAGGAAAATTTAATGTCTGTCAAGCATAGGGTTCTCAAGATATTGAACGGACAATATTCCCATGTTTTAGAAGTTTGAGCAGTCTTTCTATGTCCAGTTTAACCATTGAGCTTGTGACCTCCAAATCAAAGGGGCTCATCTACTCCTTAAGAGGAACCAATCCACTAAGTTTGATGTCTTTCAAGCAAAAGGTTCTCAAAATAATGAAGGACAGTATCTTCCTTTACCTAGCGTAATTTGACCTTTAACCTTTTTGACCTCAAAGTCAATAGGGGTTCTAAAGGGGAATTAGTGTTCCAAGTTTGATGTCTGTCAAGCAAAGGGTTCTCAATATATTGAGCAGTCAATAATTTCTTATGTCCAGTTTGACTACTGAACTTGTGGCCTCAAAATCAAATAGAATCATCTTCTCCAGAAATGTACCAAGATTGATATATGTCAAGCAAAAGGCTCTGAACATACTGAATGGCCAATATCTTCCATTGCTTAAAGAAGTTTGACCCTTGACCTTAACACCTCAAAATCTACAATGGTCATCTACTCTTCAAGGGAAACCAGTGTACCTAAATTGATGTCTGTCAAACAAATGATTTTCAAGATGTTAAGTGGTCAACATCTTCCTACGTCTAGTTTGACCCTTGGTCTTGTGAACTCAAATTCAATAGGGGTAATCAGCTTCTAAAGGAAAACTTGAATTATCTGTCAAGCAAAGATGTTCTCAAGATATTGAATGGAAAATATTCCTTAATTAGAAGTTTAACCCTTGAGCTTGTGACCTCAAAATCATCTACTACTCGGGTAGTAGCACTGTACCAAGTTTGATGTCTGGTAAGCAAAGGGTTCTCAAGACATTGAGCAGACAAAACCCACTAAACAACCACCATACAGGTGCAAAGGAATATGCCCCCATTTTTAAGGGAGGCATAAAATTATGCCTTTTCAGCAAAAGAGATAAGATCCATGCCTGCAGTGAGATACTTTGATAACATTGCCTCTTGCTCTTTATACATGTATATCCCAGTCTTCCAGTGCTAGTCATTTTTTTAAAAAACAGTCTTGAAAACCTCTGTGAATGACTAAACATGTAAGGCACTGAGCCTAATATTTATTCTGCAAACCGATACAGTATTTACTGGTTGCTTTGAACAACACATCCTCCAAAAAAAATCCAGGGCGATATCATACATGTACTGATAATAATACTCTTTGTTCACAATAGAAACATCCTTTTCCCAAAGGTAAAATAAAATAAAAACCTCATCCAAAGCATTTCATTTTTAATGTTCAAGCAAGCATTCTTTATTTGTTCACAATTTCAAACTGTTGACCGTGTTAATTGTTAATGCTTGCTATTCATTTAATTCTGCAGTGTTCAAAAAAGTAGTAAATCTGGATGGAGTGGAATGTCAAAAAAACAGCTGAAATTGTATAATGGCAAGTGGTAAAAAACAAGTATAGCCTTCATAACACTTCAATAATACTGTAAAAGAGGATTTAAAAAAAAGAGAGACATTATTCCACACCCTGGTTTAAATATGCATTTAGGGTTATTATTACTGAAATACCAATTTTATCAAATTCTACAAGGGTAGAAAAACTTGCCTACATCACATGCATTGGTTGCACCATAATCAGTAACAGCATTTCAAATAATAACAAGTAGGGATAGCACTATGATTTACAGTTAGCTGTCCTGCTTTTCATTCCTTCAAAATGAACACAGTACGGAAGGATCAGTTATTCATTATTTTGACAATAATGTATACATGTACATTGATATTAACTACACTTTAGGACACAAAGATTGACAAGATTGGAATCAAGTGCACCAGATGTTCATTAGTACCACAAACATATAAAACCTACATGAACACCAGCACAAATTTAGCATGTACATGTTCAATAACAATGTACATGTATCTGAGGATCCAAATTTCTTATCAGCACACAAATTATAAAAATTATAGTATAAAATATCAACAGGGATACTAATTTTATCTTAACTTCTATTTAAAGCCACTATGAGGAGGTTTATTTAAAAAAAAAAAAATTGCAAATGATTACATCCCTCTCCCATTTATAAACAAGAGGCCCATGGGCCACATCGCTCACCTGAGCACATTGGCTAGGCAAAAGCACAATCAGTTCAGTATTGAAAAGACCGGGGGGGGGGGGGGGGGGGGGGGGGGCTTGAATTTTAAACTACCTGATGATGCTTCCATGTCAATATAACAAATGGCTTTGTTGTACTTGAGAAGATTTTTTTAAAAAAATTCCCATATATTCCTTTGTAAAAATTTGATCCCTCATTGTGGCTCCTCCCTATCCCTGGGGTCATCATTTGAACAAACTTGAATCTACACTACCTGAGGATGCTTCCATATCAATATGACTAAACATAGCTTTTCTGTTCTTGAGAAGAAATATTTTTTCTATATGTTCTTATGTAAAACTTTCCATCCCCCATTGGGCCCCATCCTACCCCTGGGGGTCATCATTTGAACAAAATTGAATCTACACTACCTGAGGATGCTTCCATATGAATATGACTAAACATAGCTTTTCTGTTCTTCAGAAGAAGATATTTTCCTTTATATTTCTATGTAAAACTTTGATCCTCCATTGTGGCTCCGCCCTACCCCCGGTTTGAACAAACTTGAATCTACACTACCTGAGGATGCTTCCATATCAATATGACTAAACATAGCTTTTCTGTTCTTGAGAAGAAATATTTTTTCTATATGTTCTTATGTGAAACTTTCCTTCCCCCATTGGGCCCCACCCTACCCCTGGGGGTCATCATTTGAACAAAATTGAATCTACACTACCTGAGAATGCTTCCATATCAAAATGACTAATCATGGTTTGCAGTTCTTCAGAAGAAGATATTTTCCTTTATATATTTCTATGTAAAACTTTGATCCTCCATTGTGGCCCCGCCCTACCCTCGGGGGTCATGGTTTGAACAAACTTGAATCTACACTACCTGAGGATGCTTCCATATAAATATGACTCATCATGGCTTGCTGTTCTTGAGAAGAAGATTTTTAAAGATTTTTCCTATATATTTCTATGTAAAACTTTGATCCTCCATTGCGGCCCCGCCCTACCCCCGGGGGTCATGGTTTGAACAAACTTGAATCTACACTACCTGAGGATGCTTCCATATAAATATGCCTCATCATGGCTTTGCTGTTCTTGAGAAGAAGATTTTTAAAGATTTTTCCTATATATTTCTATGTAAAACTTTAATCCTCCATTGTGGCCCCGCCCTACCCCCGGGGGTCATGATTTGAACAAATTTGAATCTACACTACCTCAGGATGCTTCCATATAAATATGACTCATCATGGCTTTGCTGTTCTTGAGAAGAAGATTTTTAAAGATTTCTCCTATATATTTCTATGTAAAACTTTGATCCTCCATTGCAGCCCCGCCCTACCCCCGGGGGCCATGGTTTGAACAAATTTGAATCTACACTACCTGAGATTGCTTCCATATAAATATGACTCATCATGGCTTTGCTGTTCTTGAGAAGAAGATTTTTAAAGATTTTTCCTATATATTTCTATGTAAAACTTTGATCCTCCATTGCAGCCCCGCCCTACCCCCCGGGGTCATGATTTGAACAAACTTGAATCTACACTACCTGAGGATGTTTCCATATAAATATGACCAATCAGGGCTTTGCTGTTCTTGAGAAGAAGATTTTTAAAGATTTTTCCTATATATTTCTATGTAAAACTTTGATCCTCCATTGCAGCCCCGCCCTACCCCGGGGGTCACGATTTGAACAAATTTGAATCTACACTACCTCAGGATGCTTCCATATAAATATGACTCATCATGGCTTTGCTGTTCTTGAGAAGAAGATTTTTAAAGATTTTTCCTACATATTTCTATGTAAAACTTTGATCCTCCATTGTGGCCCCACCCTACCCCCGGGGGTCATGATTTGAACAAACTTGAATCAACACTACCTCAGGATGCTTCCATATAAATATGACTCATCATGGCTTTGCTGTTCTTGAGAAGAAGATTTTTAAAGATTTTTCTTATATATTTCTATGTAAAACTTTGATCCTCCATTGCAGCCCCGCCCTACCCCCGGGGGTCATGATTTGAACAAACTTGAATGTACACTACCTAAGGATGCTTCCACATGAGTTTCATCTTTCCTGGCCCTATGGTTCTTGAGAAGAAGATTTTTAAATGATGCCATTATTTTTTCAGTAATTCCTAATTATCTCCCCTTGAAAGAGGGCGTGGCCCTTCATTTGAACAAACTTGAATCCCCTTTACCCAAGGATACTTTGTGGCAAGTTTGGTTGAAATTGGCCCAGTGGTTCTTGAGAAGAAGTCGAAAATGTGAAAAGTTTACAGACGGACGCCGGACAAAATGTGATCAGAAAAGCTCACTTGAGCTTTCAGCTCAGGTGAGCTAATAAAACTGGAAATATGGGACAAACATTTTAAGCAGTAAAATACTCCAATCAAGCACACAGAATTAAAAAAAAAACAGTACACAACATTTACATGACAATTCATTTTAAAATAATATTAAGAGTCACTAAGACGAGGTTTAAGTTCAGCATGACGGCATCAGCTGATGAGATCCTTTCTCCATTTGTAAACAAAAAAATTGACATCAGGTTTAAGTATTAACATAGATCCATGCATTAATGAAAAAATATAATAATATACATTAACATACACAAATTGAAGTAATTCTTATAAAAATAAAATAATAAAGTAAGAACTTGCACTAAAAAAAAAAATTTATTATGCACAAAATTGTATCTATCGATCATTTTAATAAAAAAAATTAAATAAAACCGTTTCATGTTTCTTTAAATGCATAAGAATGTAAATCTGTTAAAATTCAACTCATAAACATGAAAAAAAAATTAAAAAAAACAAAACAAAATATAGTTTATAATAAAATTACATTTGTTAATAAATGATTAACTAATTAATTATAACCACTTTTAAGAACTAGCAAATCTCTGAGATATGAAAGCATATACAATTAAATATTATGCAAATACATGTTTTTAAAATTTATGGCCACATTTTCCTCCATTCTTCACATGGAGGCTTAACAGTATGCATCCTGGATTCTTGCAGCCTCCTGAATTATGGCACCTTCATTACCAAACAACTTCACATTTGGCAGGACTTCCTTCCAAGTTGTACCATTTTCCTGAAGAAAAAAGAAAATGAACACTTGACACCAGCACTTCACATTAACACCTCATTCCTTTGTTTAGAAAGCATACCCAATGTATAATATCATATTCAAAAAATCATTACTTTTCAATCATGTCTTCCTAGATACTTTTTTTGTTGTTTGCAAACAGATAATAGTATATATGAGATCCATTTTTAGTGGGTATATTTTTTGTTATTTTCATTGATTTAAAAGAAAAACCCAGCTGAACAGTACAATGAGAATCCCCTCTAGATAGACTGGCAGGATTGTGAAATCTTGGTAAAAAATGTTGAGATGTAACATGACTGGTTAGAACATATCTTTACTGTATCATTAAGGATAGCACTTAATAACTAGCATATAACCTACAGGTTAACTAAGGCATATTTATATACTGGGCCCAAAACATACCCTGACGTATGTCTGAAAATATATATTACCTCTGACATTCTCAATTCAAAGTTATCTCCTAGGTCATAATGAAAATTCCAGACTTCTGCCTCCATCCAGGCATTATCTGTATTACGTGGATCATCCAGATAACCCTTGTATAACAAGGAGGCTGAAAACCCTTGGGAATCTGCCTCTGTTCTCAGACTGGTGCGGGAACTAGTGCGAGAACCAGTAACACCAGCTATTACCTGAGAGGTGGAAAGCTCGGGATTTCCCATGGAAAAAGATGTTTTAGCATTGACATTCAGAGTAGCAAACTGTGCAAAAAACTGCAAAAAAGTAAGAATATTCATTTTAAATTAATACTAGAAATATGCCCATAGGATTTGTGAATGCCCCCTCCTAACTGCAACAAGAAAAGAAAAGTACTTTGCTTCTTTGGTCTGACGTACCCCGGTAAAATATGACGAAAGAATGATTAATTTTCCATTTTTTACATACACAGAACTAATACAGTATCTTCAGTACAGCTGTTTTCCTTTATAGCATGGTATGGGATGTTGATTCATCCCATGTTTCATCTAACAGCTAAATCAATTAAATCTCCTTATTTAAAGTTCATTCTCTCATATTTAGCAAATTTATATAGCTTAGGATCTTTTCACTAATATGTAAGGTTAAAAATTTTCTTACAGAGATTTATCTGTGTATCGAGTTTTATGGACTAATCTTTTATGGAATTAAATAAGATGAACTAAGCACAAAATGAGGAAAATGTGAATTTCAAGATTATAGGGAAGGTCAAGGTCAGGAAATTATAATGTACTTTATTTGCTCTCACCAATTTGTAATTATCTTGAACAATTTAAAAAAAAAACTTAGGTAACTGCATAATAAAGGAAATGTAGGATTAATGATCCTCTATACACTAAAGAAATTTTTTTCAAAGATTATCATTTAAGAAGTATTGGTAAATAGAAATCACTGATGTTTACTTAAATGGGGAAAATACATATAAAACAAATATCTTGAAATTGTGTTAAGAATGCTCAAATTTATTACAAATTGAGTTAAATACAGCATACTTAATTCATTTCATTTCTGATCCAAGGGCAGATTACTCTCTAACTGCATAAAAGTACCACAGAATCAGAACTCTCTACTGTGCAGTAAATATTACTCTCTAACTGCATAAAAATACCACAGAATCAGAACTCTCTACTGTGCAGTAAATAGATCAAGGCTTCTAAAGGTCTTTGGAAAGGTCAATGCAAGAAAACAATGGCAAAGTTGGCCTGCTCTCATCAATATGCATATTAGTACATGTATGAAGTTGATAAAAAATCTTCAAAAGTGAAGTTCAAGGTCAAGGGAAGATCAAAGTCATAAGGAAGGTCAAGGTCAGAAAATTTTGACAGATTTTAATTGCAGAAACCAGTATGTAATTTTGTATAAAGTTCAACTTCTTGAAAAGTGAAGTGAAGGATATATGGACAATGAAGATAAATTATGATCAAATTGAATAGCTCTTACCAATTTGTATTAGTGTATGTATGAAGTTTGATAAAAATATTATGAATAGTTTCTTTGAAACTTTACTAAATGCAAAATAATATTAAGGTCAAGGTCATCTGGAAGGTTAATGTCAAAAAATCATGCTACAGCTGTATAGTTCTCATCAATTTGTATGAAGTTATTTATTTCTTTGAATCTACTATAAATGCAAACTAAGATCATAAGGAAAGTCAAAGTCAGTAAATTAAGACAAAGTTGAATAGTATCTACCAATATATGTCTCAGTGTGAGTTTGACAAAAATATCATGGATAGTTAATTTGAAACTGAGCTAAATGCAAAATAAGGAATAGTGAGGTCCAGGTCACAGGGAATGTTAAGATCAATTTTTGCTGCAGTGGAAGAGCTCTCAGCAATATATGTATCAGTATATGATTTCATTGAAATTGGGCAAACACAAAGTCTGACAGGTGAAAAGACAGCTACGAACACTTGACAAACACTAAATGCCCCAGCTATATTCATGGTGGGGTAATAAAAATAACTGTACTAAAAAATTAGTCCTTTTACTTAGATTTTTAAAATCTTAAACTTAAGTCTTCGTAATTTTTAAGAAAAGTTTTCAATACTTTTTTCAATACCTGAATCATATCTCCCTGGTCCAGGGTTGGTTTTGATTCGACTTCGTTCTCATCAAACACAGTTTTCAGGAAAGACTCGCAGACAACAGAATAAGGAGAGGATAGACCATGAAGTACTCCCTATAAAAATAATACATATTTATTACATTTTCAACAGTGAAATACTGTGATTTATTTATTGAATAAAAGTGATATTCTCTCACAGTGTGAAAGGATATTAACGTAAGTAAAAAATAATTTCTGGCCTGTCATAAGATAGAGATAGTAACTAAATCATCTTGAAAGAGACTAAAACTGCCAATTTCCTTCTTAGTATGTTGCTAAAATCAATGTTACAATATTTTCAATAGGTCTCACAACTGTTAAGTTTTGACTTCTCAACCGCTCAACTCTGACATCACAGCCTAAAACTAGCCTAATTGTAAATGAGTTTTGTTATGTTTAAAAAATAAAATTGATGGACCCAGGGCCCATGCCCTCTACAAAGCACTAGCCAAAATCTAAAATTGATTGGCCCTAGACCATCAGCCCATCAATTATTTCGAGCCCTGAAACAGAAAACAGAGAAGCAAATGTGTCCAAAATAAAGACTTACCCCTGGTAATTCATACACAGTCTCAAGATTATTACCATCTCTCTGAGTGGCTATAAACTCTAAGACTCGTTTTCCCTCCACGTACAGATAACCACTAGGCTGATTATCCTGATTGTACTTCTGTCTCCATCGAGTACACACTGCCTTTATCACATGATTTGGTCCCCATCGCCATAGGTTTCCTTTGCCTCTAATTCCAGTTCGTCCCATAGGATTCCTGGAAAGAGGAAAGTAAAAGAGAAGTGCTGGTGTGTGTTAATTCACTACATTCAATGATGCAAGATAACTATACATGTCCACTGTATACAAATTGAACCAGCCTCTAATGGCACTGTACAGTAATCAAAATAGTATGTTGTGCATCCAGTATTCAAGTAAGACAAACTATGTTAAGGAGTTCTTTAGAATCACCATATTTTGAGTGTGTGTGTGTGTGTGGGGGGGGGGGGGGTAATTTTTACGGTTACCCCTTTTCCTCCTTTTATTCATATTTCAATCCCTTTTATCCAAGAATGCTTTATGGGAAATTTTGTTGAAACTGGTCCAGTGCTTCTGGAGAGGATGAAAATGTGAAACGATCAGTAATGTTCACTTAAACATCTTCCTCAGATGAGCTAAAAACCTTTCTGATTTTGTTCAGCACTTAAAAATTAATAAAAATAGTAAGTTGATTTCAATGTCATCATAGACAAATACATCCACTTGTATAATTTTTTTATTTTGTTTTCATTAAATTGCTGACATTGTATGTCCTGCTTCAACAAAAGAACCTTTATAACTAGGATAGAAGCAGAATCTGTTCTCCAAACATATAAAAACCTGTAGGAAGAGAAATAGAGATAAGAATGTAATCATTGATAAAGGTTAAATTCTGGTCAGTCACAGACAATAGGAGTGAGATGATGCACAATTTTTGTGAAAAGTGCATCAATTTCAACTTTGTTATTAATGAAAACACCATGCAAAAGAATATCAAATAGATTCTTACAGTGGAAGTCCATTGGGGTCCAGTTGATATCTGCAGGGCTGGTCATCCATAGAGATCCAGGATCTACGATCAATGATCTGTTTCCTTCCTCCATTTGTTTGGTGAACCACAGTAAGAATAGAATTCCATTTCATGTTGGGGATGGAGGGTAAGGGAGGTAATCCTATGAGCTCTTCTTCTGTCATTTTGGCATATTCCTCCTTCAGTTTCTTCACTCTTGTAGACAAAATAGAAAGAGTTCAATTATAGATCCCATCTATTATATTATATTATTCCATCAATTGTCTGTTATATTTCTGGTGAAAATATCTTTCTTTGTTCTTATTCTTGTTTATGGATATGACAATATAAAACAATCAAATAAACAATATGCTCTGGATAATACCCTCAATATACACATTTAGGATCCAATGTATAAATCACCACATTAATTATTGTTGAATCAATGTCATTTACATATAGGTACATTACTTACAATTAAAACATACTAGGGTTTTACAGACCATACTTTGATGACATAGAACAATCTATCCTAAATACATTGACTGTCCCTTTACTTACAGTATAATGTCCAGATCCACATATATTCTCTCCTCATCAGAAAACTTTTCTGTGGCTAAGGTATAAATCTTGGGATCATAAACATCATATGATGTCTAGTGAAAAAAAAAGAAAATAAAATAAACCATAATTGAATAAATCATATTAATTTGAATTGAGATATAAATAGAATTAACAAAATGCAGTTACCTCCCATGGTACGTATTTGTCAAATACAGGGAACCTGGCTATGGAAGTGCCTGGGTAAGGAGACTGCCGAGCTGCTACATGAATTATCTGCCCCTTTCTGTTGGCCATACCATGGACATCTATAAAGATATCACTATAAATGAATGTGTTGGTGTAGACTTGTTATTA